TGACTGGAATTGTGTGCCATTTTCGTGCCCCAGAAGTCATTGACAAACACTTCACTGACAGTTGTGTCACTCATCACATCCTTGTTGTTGAGGATGGCTTCGGTGTCGTCGAAGACAAACTCAGCCATCAGTGACACCCAATAACAGGCCATTGATGCCAAACATATCACTAGATTCTTGTGTCTCAATAAAGTCTCAAAGTTTGTCATATTTGACAGCTTGTGGCACATATTCGTCACTTAACAGTGATTCACATGTATTCATAGCACACCTGTGCTCACTCATGTCCACTCAATCCACTCATTCATATAATTGTTGATTGTCTTAAGTTTGCAAACTTTTTCAAACTGTAACCACAAATCAAACATTGAATGCAATTCAGTATGAAATTATGTCTTATATTTGATGTGCGAGCTATGAGTTGTGTTCATTCAATCAATGTATGAAAGTATCATGCTTATTTGGTCTTATGTAGTAGGTGCAGGGTCAATGGGACAATGACCAGTGACCAATGACCATGGTGAGGTGAGGCCAAACAGGCAATATAGTGAATAGTGTATCGTATTGTAGCTGTGTTTGGGCGCAAGAGTGCAGTGAATGAGTGAATGAATGCATTCAATGATTGGTCCCATCATTGGAGTCAAAGTGCGGAAGCATTTCATAGACACCGGTATGAAGTGCTGTAATGGCCTATGAATGCCATACAGACACCAATTACGGCTTATATTCACTACACATATCATTTAATTGTGTCCACCATTTACACTCAATTTAACACAATTACAATGAGTTTAGTGACAGATACCTACAACGCTGATATATTTTACAGTAATTAATGAATATATAGCATAAGTATTGCGAAAGTATGAGAAGTGAATGTATGCGTGAAGGGAGTGCTGGTGTGGACGTACACTGTGTATGGGTTCCGGTGTGCGCAAGTGGTGCCCACAGAGTGATCGCCTATTTGTATGGCATTAGGCGACGCTAGCATAGCGTTAATGCCATAGCATTGAGTGAATTGACTCATTCATAGTTGGGATAAATCCAGTGAAACATGTCGAGTGCTTTTGATGATCGGTATGTCCTCTCTATTCACTACCATTTATGTCCATTGCTATCATATACCCGTTTAGTCCATATTGTCTCCATGTCTTGTACTCGCTGTCCACCATAATTGTGTCCAAATAAGACAATTGATGGTAAATGAGTGGTAAATGGGTGACAGACAATGAGAGCATGCATTCAATGCGTGTGTGAGTGCACAGCACTGCTATGCATGGCGTGTGTGACTGTGTGCCACCACTGCAAACATGGCGTTCCCTATAGTAGGCTCAACACTGACCGCTATTTGCCTCATATGCCATACCTTACCACCCATTGTCTTCCTTTGCCACACATTTGCTGATCCCTCAGACTCGCTGCCCATTTGCAGCCAATTGTCAAATGAGTATTTCCTGTGAATGAGTCCAACAGTGATGTCTTGACATGTATTTGATTGCATTGGAAAACACGTTGACAGCGATTGTGGGAAATGTCTTAATGCCGATATGTCTGTCCACAGGAACAACGGACCCCGCGATGACAACCGGTCTCGCGATGGAGACGACAATCACGAATACGGTGAGGACAGGCCTACCGGTATGGACCCGGACGGCGTGATTGAGGTGGGTATCCATTACTATGCACTTCCGGTGCACATGATTTTGACGTCTAAAATGAATTGTGATTACATAACAGAGTAATTGGGATGAAATTGTGGCCAATTTTGATGACATGAACCTCAGAGAAGAGCTTCTTCGAGGTATCTATGCTTACGGTTTCGAGAAGCCGTCGGCCATTCAACAGAGAGCTATCATTCCCTGCATTAAAGGTATGTCTGAAAATGGATTCATTGAATGGATATGTGAGGAATGGTGTGTTTGTGGACAGGTATGGATGTGATAGCGCAGGCACAGTCGGGAACGGGCAAAACGGCCACCTTTTCGATTGCCATTCTTCAGCAAATCGATACTTCACTTAACGAATGTCAGTCCCTTATTCTGGCGCCCACTCGAGAGCTCGCACAACAGATCCAGAAAGTGGTGTTAGCCTTAGGCGACTACATGAACGCCCAGTGCCACGCCTGCATTGGCGGCACTAATGTGCGCGAAGACATCCGGAAGCTCGAGATGGGCGTCCATATAGTGGTCGGCACTCCCGGACGCGTCTACGATATGATCACGAGAAGGGCTTTACGTAAGTATAGGGTATACAAGAGGTGTACGACTAGTATTGACGAGAGGCATGTCCTTCAGGTCCGGATCACATAAAGATCTTTGTCTTGGATGAGGCGGACGAGATGTTGTCCCGTGGTTTCAAGGATCAGATCTATGATGTCTTCAAGACATTGAATCAGACAATTCAGGTTTGTTTGGTTTGAGTGATAGTCTGTACCCTTTGACTACAATGCCTGTGTGTCTGTTCAGGTGATCCTATTGTCTGCGACAATGCCGGCGGAAGTGCTGGAAGTGACCAAAAGGTTTATGAGAGAACCCATTCGTATTCTCGTGAAGAAGGAANGTCATGGGATCAGTTGTTGTATGAATTAATTCATTCAAATGTCTAATCAATCGGAAGGTGAGGACAGTGAGGGGTCGGAAGGACTTGTGACTGGAATTGTGTGCCATTTTCGTGCCCCAGAAGTCATTGACAAACACTTCACTGACAGTTGTGTCACTCATCACATCCTTGTTGTTGAGGATGGCTTCGGTGTCGTCGAAGACAAACTCAGCCAACAGTGACACCCAATAACAGGCCATTGATGCCAAACATATCACTAGATTCTTGTGTCTCAATAAAGTCTCAAAGTTTGTCATATTTGACAACTTGTGGCACATATTCGTCACTTAACAGTGATTGACATGTATTAACAGCACACCTGTGCTCATGAATGTCCACTCATTCATATAAATGTTGAAAGTTTTGCAAACTTTTTCAAACTGTAACCACAAATCAAACATTGAATGCAATTCAGTATGAAATTGTGTCTTATATTTGATGTGCGATCTATGAGTTGTGTTCATTCAATCAATGTATGAAAGTATCATGCTTATTTGGTCTCATGTAGTATCGTAGGTGCAGGGTCAATGGAACAATGACCAGTGACCATGGTCAGATGAGGCCAAAGAGGCAATAGCAGTGCTCTAGTGAATAGTGTATCGTATTGTGGCTGTGTTTGGGCGCAAGAGTACAGTGAATGAGTGAATGAATGAATGAATGCATTCAATGATTGGTCCCATCATTGGAGTCAAAGTGCGGAAGCATTTCATAGACACCGGTATGAAGTGCTGTAATGGCCTATGAATGCCATACAGACACCAATTACGGCTTATATTCACTAACATATCATTTAATTGTGTCCACCATTTACACTCAATTTAACACAATTACAATGAGTTTAGTGACAGATACCTACAACGCTGATATATTTTACAGTAATTAATGAATATATAGCATAAGTATTGCGAAAGTATGAGAAGTGAATGTATGCGTGAAGGGAGTGCTGGTGTGGACGTACACTGTGTATGGGTTCCGGTGTGCGCAAGTGGTGCCCACAGAGTGATCGCCTATTTGTATGGCATTAGGCGTAGCATAGCGTTAATGCCATAGCATTGAGTGAATTGACTCATTCATAGTTGGGATAAATCCAGTGAAACATGTCGAGTGCTTTTGATGATCGGTATGTCCTCTCTATTCACTACCATTTATGTCCATTGCCAAGATATACCCGTTTAGTCCGTATTGTCTCCATGTCTTGTACTCGCTGTCCACCATAATTGTGTCCAAATGAGACAATTGATGGTAAATGAGTGGTAAATGGGTGACAGACAATGAGAGCATGCATTCAATGCGTGTGTGAGTGCACAGCACTGCTATGCATGGCGTGTGTGACTGTGTGCCACCACTGCAAACATGGCGTTCCCTATAGTAGGCTCAACACTGACCGCTATTTGCCTCATATGCCATACCTTACCACCCATTGTCTCCCTTTGCCACACATTTGCTGGTCCCTCAGACTCGCTGCCCATTTGCAGCCAATTGTCAAATTAGTATTTCCTGTGAATGAGTCCAACAGTGATGTCTTGACATGTATTTGATTGCATTGGAAAACACGTTGACAGCGATTGTGGGAAATGTCTTAATGCCGATATGTCTGTCCACAGGAACAACGGACCCCGCGATGACAACCGGTCTCGCGATGGAGACGACAATCACGAATACGGTGAGGACAGGCCTACCGGTATGGACCCGGACGGCGTGATTGAGGTGGGTATCCATTACTATGCACTTCCGGTGCACATGATTTTGACGTCTAAAATGAGTTGTGATTACATAACAGAGTAATTGGGATGAAATTGTGGCCAATTTTGATGACATGAACCTCAGAGAAGAGCTTCTTCGAGGTATCTATGCTTACGGTTTCGAGAAGCCGTCGGCCATTCAACAGAGAGCTATCATTCCCTGCATTAAAGGTATGTCTGAAAATGGATTCATTGAATGGATATGTGAGGAATGGTGTGTTTGTGGACAGGTATGGATGTGATAGCGCAGGCACAGTCGGGAACGGGCAAAACGGCCACCTTTTCGATTGCCATTCTTCAGCAAATCGATACTTCACTTAACGAATGTCAGTCCCTTATTCTGGCGCCCACTCGAGAGCTCGCACAACAGATCCAGAAAGTGGTGTTAGCCTTAGGCGACTACATGAACGCCCAGTGCCACGCCTGCATTGGCGGCACTAATGTGCGCGAAGACATCCGGAAGCTCGAGATGGGCGTCCATATAGTGGTCGGCACTCCCGGACGCGTCTACGATATGATCACGAGAAGGGCTTTACGTAAGTATAGGGTATACAAGAGGTGTACGACTAGTATTGACGAGAGGCATGTCCTTCAGGTCCGGATCACATAAAGATCTTTGTCTTGGATGAGGCGGACGAGATGTTGTCCCGTGGTTTCAAGGATCAGATCTATGATGTCTTCAAGACATTGAATCAGACAATTCAGGTTTGTTTGGTTTGAGTGATAGTCTGTACCCTTTGACTACAATGCCTGTGTGTCTGTTCAGGTGATCCTATTGTCTGCGACAATGCCGGCGGAAGTGCTGGAAGTGACCAAAAGGTTTATGAGAGAACCCATTCGTATTCTCGTGAAGAAGGAAGAGCTGACTCTCGAGGGAATCAAACAGTTCTTCGTTCTGATAGAACGGGAGGAATGGAAATTTGATACGTTATGCGATTTGTATGAAACGCTTACTATAACACAAGCCGTGATTTTCTGCAACACTCGAAGGAAAGTGGACTGGCTCACTGAGAAGATGCAACAGCGAGACTTCACGGTCTCCCACATGGTTTGTCACTCATTACCACTCACTTGTCTATCACTACTGCACTATTCCTTCACATTAAAGCACTTTTACATAAAACCTATTTATGTTTAAAGTCTGTCGCTGTGAAGGAAAGCAAAAGTAAGGCTTTGGGTGAGATTGGGCTCAATCTCATGAACCCATATCTCAACGGCTTTTACGACATTTCCCTTCTATTTGATTCAATAGTGATTGCAAACTAATTGTAGGCCAATGTATGCTAACTGTGTGTCTGTCCCCCTATAGCACGGAGATATGGAGCAAAAACAACGCGAAGTAATTATGCGTGAATTCCGGTCGGGTTCGAGTCGAGTGCTCATCACTACCGACCTCCTGGCCCGTGGTATTGACGTACAACAGGTGTCTCTCGTAATCAATTATGATTTGCCCACAAATCGGGAGAATTATATCCATAGGTATGTGTGATTGAAGTGAATGTAGTGTTTGTATTGACACTAACACTGTGTTGAATGGTTGGACAGAATCGGAAGGGGCGGTCGGTTTGGTCGTAAGGGAGCGGCCATTAACTTCGTGACAGTGGAGGACAAGCGGGCCCTCCATGACATCGAGCAGTTCTATAACACACAGATAGAGGAGATGCCGCTCAACGTCGCGGATCTAATCTAATTTAAATTAATATAAACTGTCACTCAATTTGGATGTGTTTATACTTTTAATTAATTATTTTAATTAACGAAAGCCTCGAAACCAGTCGTAATAAGTTTATAAAAGCTGTTAATATTTTCCGATTTAATGTTTTTTTAAATTTACGACTCGTTTCGCACTTTCATTAAAATTAAATAAAAAAATGGGAAAATTAACAAAAAATTATTAACTTTACAAATCATCACTAAAAATATGATATAAAAATCCATTCGATAAAGTGTTTTGTTTTTTGCGGTAAATGTTCTCTCATTCGCTAAGAGTTTCATTAATTGTATTTATATTTTTCGGTATATAAGCCATCATTTATTAGTGTCTTATTTTCTAATCATTTCCTTATTTATCAACAAATAAATCAGTTTTAAAGTGACTAACAATTTATTAGACTCTTTTATGATTAGTTGAACACATATTCTGGATCAATTCAATAGCCAATCGTTATCTTGATGCAATAACTTGTCATCACTTTTGTGTCCTATAATGAGTAATATTTATTGAAATTATTATATAAATTCTTAGGATTCCTTTACCAATACGTAAGCATTAATTATGCAAACTTTTATATGATTGCAAATATAGGATGAAATAATTCTGTGATAATAATTCACTTGCAATTACAGAAGTGTATACTACTGAATAAGTGTGTATTTCCGTATATGAATATTCCTATATTTTTTATCAGAGTAATCCATTTCTGTTTAGTTGTGCCGTAATCCTGATGATTTTATATGACATTCAATGGTATATTTTTAGAAACCGGGTTTATGGGCTTTAGGAACGCAATATGTGTGGATTATCCACAATTAGATTACCTGGTTTACAAAAGTTTTCCATTTCATCTGAAAGTTTTTTTTACAAATATAACACTATTTTGTGATTTCTAGCATTATTTCTAGTATTTATCACTGAAAGAATAATGCAATAAATGATAAAACATTTAAAATTAAATTATATTTATTTAATAAATTAGATATATCTAACCCTCCATACAATCGTTGGACAAATATTAAAGAAAATATATATAAATAATAGAAAATATATCACTTTGTGATTAGAATTGAGACAACAGTTGTAAACAATTATCAATTCATTTAATCCGATTCGTCAAAACTTTTTGTTTGTTAATATTGCTTAACATTAGACTTATATACGATGTCAATAAATCATCCATTTTATAGCCCTTTGAGTAGAAAATAATTCAAATTAAACACAATTCAATACAAAACTTTTCAATTGTATGCTTACGAGTGGTGTTTCGCACAAGAGTTTACTGCCGCGGACCAGATTACCAATTGTCATATGAAAGTATGTGTTACCACTACTCCAGTTGGATATCCTTGTGAATGGATGGGTCACGAGAATCTCTTTGGACACGGGGTCGATAAGACTCACACCATTCTTATTGATAGCTATTAGCAGGTGTTCCGGGAAGTTGGTGTCACCGTTTTGCTACATAATCACATCATTTCATGATATTTATGACAAAGTGACACAATTCATGGTAACTTACTTTGACTTCGAAAAAGGCTGATCCAAATGTGGGCCATTTATAGACGTACTTCAGAAAGGATATCTTAGCGTTTTCACACGAAACACCATTCTCTTGATTATGTGCCGATACTATTGCCTAAAATGAGACAATCGTTGCATTTACTGTCAATCAAAGCTAAGATTAAAGAATTGCTTTCCAAACCTTTTTCCATTCATTAGGGCTCTGAGTTTTGATCACATCTATAGGTATTAATTCGTGCAAAATATTTCTGTCAAACAAACATCAAATCACACATTATTTTATTGCTAATAATAAAACCCGTTTGATGTGTAAATAACATACGGAATGGCCTGTAATTCAGCTTTGCTTTCGCCAAACCTAACCCTCAGTATAAGTGCAGCCAATTTTGCGGCGTCTTCTTTACTGCACTTATGATAACCTCTTAAAAGTTTTGGCAATTCCTGTAAAATATATTTTGATAAATAATACCAAGTTTTGGGAATTAGATATGAATTACAAGACCTGGTGGTAATGGAAGATAAGGTCTGCGTTTCGATCTTTTCCGGGAACGGTATTCGTCCACAACTTCTTCATGAAGAACACTTGATAAGTAAACTGAGGCACAGATCCTAACCATTAAACATAGAGTGTATTAGTAACTCATTTATTCAAATTGAATGCTAAGATACCGTCTCTGGAAGGCCGGGCTTTTCTGATCCAATCGGTGAGATGTCTAACAAAATCGAAGAAGAAGTCTGCTTCGGGAACACTAATCACTTTATCGGCTATTTTGACAAAAAGACTGAATCCCTCAGCAGTTCGTAGACTCAAACGCTGTGCGATATCCAAACAAAAGTCTTTGGCTCTCGTACTCGAGTCCACTTCAAATGCCTTTCAGATAACAATATTATAAGCAATTGTTAATCACTAGCTATTAACAAATTAATTGCTAATAGTATTACTTCGTCGGTATCGTCGGGAAAGTAGACTTTATGGAAGATTTGAGTTGTTTTGTGTTGAATGGCCTCTACTTCTACTAAATGTGGTGGATACTTTCTCTGTCCATTCCTCAAAGTCTTATGCAAGCGCTGCAGTGAATCGATAGCTATTGGATGTCTTCGTGTTCGTAAAAAGAGTGTCAACTCTCGAAGCAATGTCTGACTCGGAGCGAACAGACCACTCGATAACCACATCAGTTCCCAACCTCTCTCTTCACTCAATCTTTAGTTTACATTACATTATAGTATTTCATTAAACACTTATTCTAACACTTAATGGACTACTATTTCAGTCTTACCTGTTCTTATTGTCAGTCAATTGCTTCATAATCTGACAGTAGATCTCATCCCTTAAGATATCCTAAAATGCAACTCAAATATAGTCAAAAAACAAATGTTAAGCGTTTATATGTCATACAAATTTGAGCGGTCCTTCAAATATCTGATCCGTTAAATCATTGCCACTTCTGGTACGTCTGGACGGAAGGTCTCCCATATACTTAAGAATTGGTGCAAAGGAGTTAAGGAATTCTTTGTAAACAAATTAATAAATAATTTATAAATCCAAATTAAAAAATTAATTAAAATATATTTGAATTTGAAAAGGATATCATTAAAAGCGAAACAACTCTCTTGGATGAGGTCTTCTTTGTTCAAAAGCTTCTTAAGCAGCGGTTGTTTAATCGGTTCTCTCGAATGTCTCCACAATTGGTCGACATTTCGCTTTCTGGCCGAAGAGAAGGTGAGAGTTCGCGGGAGAGTGTATTTGGGCGGAGGTCTGAAGTGGTCGATAGAGTATTCCTCTAAAGTGTGTGGCTTTTCGTGTGCATCGAATCCATTGGCCTGAGGATAGCTGAAGAGGTGTCGACTGTTTTCGTCCAAATTGTCTGAACTAAACACCGATAGAATACTGGGCGCCGGCTTTGTAGTGGTGGGCAAGACATATACAAACTCAGTGGGAACGTCACCTTTTTCTCCATTCTTCTCCAACTTCGCTAAAACCCAAGGATTGTTGAGAACATAATCACCACAATAGGGGCCATCGAGTAACATGAGGTCTCCCTGATTGAATGATAGCACTGACGATCCCTCTCCTCTATAGTCTTGTAAAGCGATCACAAATTTGGATCTCTTTTTCAATCCATTCAAGAAGAATGAGATGAGTTCACAAATATCTTCAGAGTTCGGGGACTGGAATGTGAACTCTTCTCCTCTAACAGTGTTTAGCGTAAAGTTTTGCATAAAAGGTCGGCCAGTCTTCTGACTGACAGCGGCTGTGATCTCAGCAAATGAGAGCTCTAACAACACCTGTTCCTGATCGTCAACCATATAAATTCCGGTCCAGTTTATGGCAATTATCACATCATTTTTAGGCAGAATAGGACCGTTCACTCGGAACGCCTCATAGAAACGGGAGAACAGGAGCGGCCACTTGTATTTGGCGTACTCTACGATATCCTCCTTAATCTTCAGATGCGATACTTTCTCTTTATAGAAATAGCTCTGAAATCATCATTGATTCCCAAATTAATGCATTTATCAAACAAAATAGTCTATAATTAAAATACAAGTACTGTATAAAGAATGCATACCTTTTTGTTGGCAGCGATGATCAGGTTCGCCCACTTCTCCACACTCTTGTCATTTGTTTGGAGACAATGGTCTGGAATATAGTTTGTAAGAACTGAAACCAATTTATCGGTTTTAATGTCTTCGCCGAACTCAATGAAGTACTGTTGGGCCGAAATCATAGCCAACTCGTCCTCTTTCTCGCACCGGTATTCTCCAAACTTGACTCCACGTACGACCTGTTGGTATATAAGATTGGTGGCCACCGAGTCCTCGGTGGGGTCGTGCCAGGGGGCGAAGATCTCCTTGCGGAAGAACAGCCTCCAGGGGGCGTTCCTCTCTTGGGCGCCCTGTTCTTTGGCGTATTGCTCGCACTGAGAGATAGCGTCCATCACGTGTTCGCCACCACTTCCCAGAGACGAGACTTTGTCGAAGAGTGCGATATATAAAGAGAAGCCGAACTGGTCTTTCAAATTGATTTTGTCCGACAATTGGGCGCAGAGTTCGCGGGCAGTGGTGGCCGAGTCGGCCAACAGGGTTTTCGTGTTGCCGTCCATGAAAGTGATCGGAAGCATCAGTGGTTTCTTGGATTTGGTTGCCTGTAGTTCCAGCCACGAGGGCGGCTGACCCCGAGTCCCGTTCCGGAAGGTTCGTCTCAGTCTGTCCTCACAATAAGGGGCGTAACCCGGAGGCCCTTCTCTTATGAAGTTCAGTAAGTATTTAACAAACTATGGAAATAAATATTAAAAGTGTTTTATTATTCAATACATTATATGAAAAGACTTTCTCGACTTTTCTTCTAAAATGAAAAATAATTCATTTAATTCCATATATTGTGAGAAAAGTCTCTTAAAATTGTAAGTTCACGTCAGTCTAGTTTTGAAAACAGGGAAATGATTATTATTCAAAGTGATCGCAAAGCAACTGTCGTTTTGTTAATTTTTAGACAAATTATGAATGAATTATCTCAATATACGGGTCATTGCGCACCACTTGTGCTAACATTAAGAATATCTTTACCTTTCAATACAATACAGAGTCTATAATATAGACTATTATTTCAGCAGTTTCTTCAATATATAGCTTTTTAGAGTTCAAGTTTGAGTTCAAATGACATTTCCCTCGCAATCAGTTTTTCAAAAGTACCCAAAAGTTTATGTCATTTTAGACATCTTATTAATCAATTCAAAGTTAGAGTTAAATATATTCGTAGGCATAATATAGCCATTTATATCTCATTTAAATTGAGTTTTAAATTAAAGTTATTAAAAGTCTGTTACCTTTTCTGAAGGCGCAAAACATCCGACACAAAGTGACAGTAATATCCATCCTCTGGCGTGAGAACTCTTACTTTGATTATTTGTTAATTGTTTACAAATTTGACAATAAATCTCATCTCTAAAAAGATAACAAACAAAATATTTTCTTATAAATTAATTCTTAATACTTTTATAGTAACTTATTATTAGTATTATAATAAAATAATATTTCTAATTATAATACTTTAAGATTATAACGATGTAATTGTTTTGCCAATTATTATTAAATTTCAACTATTTTATGAATCATGAAACAAATAATCCTTTTTGTCTAGTTTTAAAATTCCTATATTCTAATGTACAAAGTATTTTCAACCAGACGATTTTGATTATCTAAGTCTCAAATGAAGTTCACATTTATTGATATTTTACCAGGCTACTACAGTCTGATCTATAATTATGATATTTGAATTTGTTTAAGAATTTGATACCTGCAGAAATATCACATAATAAAATCATATGAGCATTAGGGAACCAGAGAGGCGTTAGGTATTTTTATTTCTAATTACTAATTTGACTTAAAAGTCAATTATTCATACAGTATTCATAGGTTTTTATTTAAAAAATATATTGAGTTAAATTTTAAATTAGAAATAAAAATATCTAGCGCTTCTCTGGTTCCATAAAAATCATATGTTTTATTAACCTGAAGCTACTTTCAAATAACAAACTTTATAAAAATCTTATGCAGCAAAAATTTTAAACATTTCTTTAACGATTTCTAACATTTCATAGTAAAAAATTAAACACTAATTTTAGTCGTGAATATTTAAGATTAGTTATTATAAGTCTGAATCAGGTGAATACTATCCTTTTTGATTTCATTCAATATTCTAAAGCTATGAATCTATGAATATCATAGCTTATGATATTAAGCTGGCTTAGTAAGATCATAAATATTATTAATACCTATAGGCTATAGTACTTCACCAAAATAATGATATCATATAGAATAATCTAATTTAATGAACTATAGTGCTAAATTCTATTTATAACAATTCTTTATCAACATTCTCTTACAAGTTTCTATATATCACAATATTTATCATTTTTAAAGTATTAATAAAATTATGATACTATTCGGAGAAAGTAGAGTAAAACCAAAGAATGTGAGGAATGCATACCTCAACTCATCTCTGTCATAAGGCACCGGATATTACTTTACGTTAAAGAGCTCTAATCTACAACCGGAGCTGAGGTCGGTACTCGATATCCACAGCCGCCGCTACAGCAGCAGAACTTCTGCAGCAGAGTGTAGAAGTGAGTGTTTGTTCTTCTTCTTCAGTGTAAGCGAAACCAGTTTATTACGAATGGATCGCGACTTCACGGGTTTGCTCTCAGCCTCCTTTTCATGAAAACCATTGTATGTTATTATAGAGTATGTGTTATTCACATATAATTAATTAACAAAATCAAATCTTCTCACCAATTCGAGACCCAATAGTTGTGACTCTTGAAACTCTTTACTTTTAATGAAATTTCTACCTAAAGTTGCCGTCACTTTACTCATTACAGATGTATTATCCTTCAGCAACAAATAAATAATATTATGTAAATTATGGAAATGTAGGTATAATTAAAAGTACAGCACTTACTCTTCCCATTGTGTGAAATTTAGGTTCAGTTAAGTCTCCCATAAAACGTAAAACAGTAATCCAAAGTGCTATTGAAGCCTAAATAAAGAATTGGATTGTAATTACAAAATGTAAATATAGTATTCAATAAAATATAGAGCATTTAAATTTAAATAGATTATTCCAAAACTATTATTAAAGTGATTAAATTATTTTATGAAGTATTCAGACATGAAATGCACTCTTTTAGGACATACCATACAATCTCCTTGTGTCTGGAGAGGTAGAAGGGGTTGTTTGAGTGGTTTTCGTTGATACTGATGGCCGACATTTCCCTGGAAATAAGTTGTGGCAAACTTCTGAAATTTGTATTCAGACAAGTCCTCCAACTCTTCGTGAGGAACGGGTGGAAACATTCCCTCATTTTCCATCAAATCGTTGTTGAGGTCACCGTTAGGTCTCTCGAGATCCCTGAAGGCTGACGGGCCGTTGTGTTCGGAGAGGTTATCAGTTCGCGGAAGAAAGTCAAACATAGCGTCCACTAGTTTCGAGTCGTCCAACACCTCGTCCTGTCGGTGCACAGCGTCTGTAATGACAGCCTTTTTCTCCTCGATTTGTCGCTTCTCTTCAATCTCTGTCTCTTTCTTCTGTGCCTCGAATTCTTGCATTCTTTCGAAATACTTTCGTTCAGCGATTTCTTTAGCCTTCTTTGGATTCATTTGTTTCCGAAGAAGAGATTCTTCCTGTTCTTTGAGTCGAAGGGCTTCCAAACGACTCCTGTTTTCATCTCGTAATCTAAAATACTTTTTACGAGCG